AAGGACGGCTACAAAATCTGGCACCAAAGTTAGCCCTTCGCCAAAGTATACACTATCTCTAAAATAAGCTGCAACTGCATCAATATTGCTCAAGAGTAGATATTCATTGTACCATTAGAATTCCGGTGTCATGCAGATCTTGGCTGATTACTATAGGATATTATGTCCAAAGAACACCTACAGAATCTGACATCAAAGTCAGTACTTGGCCAAAGGAAACACTGTCTGTAAATCAAGCTGTAACTCTACCAATGTTGCCTACGTATAGACGTTCATTTCACCGTTGAAAGGGTTACGTCATGGAAATCTACTAGTAGACAATTCAGCTTACAATATCATGTGCAAAGGATACCCACAGAATCTATTGTCAAATTTAGCACTTTACCAAAGTAAATACTACCTTTATAACAAGTTGTAACTCTACCAATATAGCCAGTGTGTAGACATTCATTACACCTTTGAAATGCTGGTATTAAGGAGATTTAGACTGTTCAGCGTGAGATATTGAGTCGAAAGGAGACCTATAGGATCTGTTGTCAAAGTCAGCATATAGTTAGTAGTTGAGTTGTACGTCGATGTTAGGTGGAGATAATCTGATAGACTTCAGAGTTCTCTAGGCCAACCAATATGGTTTTCTATAGATGGTAATAGTCTAAACAGGCTGAAATTACAATTGTTTCTCTTATGACAACTAAGAGCGAAGTAAAGTAGGTAAAGTAGGATAGAATTATGAGAATAGTATGATATTGTTAAGGTCTCTTCTGAGTTGCTTGAAGATGTCTAAAGACTTGAGAGACACTTTGATAATTATATTCCGCCTCCAAGTATTCCTGGACTACATCTATCTATTATACAACTATGTACCTCTCTGTCTGTAACTGGCAATGCTGGGTATTCTCTAAAGGTACAAATACCTGAAGACCCTGAAAATCCTCACATCCTCTTCGCTAATTACAATATTGCTAACCAGGAATGAGACAGTTCCCAATAGTACTTATCCGATCAGTAGAGTCTTTAGCCTTATGGCACAGTGCTCAAGTCGAGCTCAAGTAGCGCCAATTGTCTCCATAATTGATGAAATAATTAGTTACATCTGTGGGTTGTATCGGTGGAAGTAGCCATAATTGTAATCTTTCTAGGTCGCCTGACTTCGAACTCCTATAACTCCATATCCAAATGACAGATATTTTCAAGATGACTTCCTACTCTTTCACAGAAGCTATTCTACAGTGTTGACAAATCATCCTGTGGCTGGCAACTCTTGGATGCTCCGAGTAATAGCGTTTCAATCGGGATTCTAATATTGGGAACTATTCCTGCAACTATAGTGTCTTCTTAAACTTAATTATAATACTCTATGAGGTCCCTTGGCTTCTGTAGTAGTGTTCCTCAGAGTGCTAGACTTTTTAATTATTATAGTGTGGATGCAAATGGATTGGTTTCTTCGTAAGATCTTTTAACACTCAAGGCCATGTCTTTGTGCGAAAATGTCCCATTACTCACCACTTATGGCAAAGATGTCACATCTTTGAAGCCTTGTCACTCTGTATGCAGTTGACGGATTTACTCTATTCCTCTTCCCACATCTAACCAAAAGTCCCCTCTTATTTATACTACAAACATGATCTAGACAGACAGACAGCAGCATTGTATAAGTGTTATTCCAATACCTTCAATTCTGTAACCCTATAGTTATAGCACGGAACTAAAATAGATGTAGATAATAATATGCGAGACATATAACGGGGCTACAACAAGGTGTTGGAGATCAGAAATTCTAATTCTGGATAAGATTACTTTACTTAAGATTGTTCCTAGGTATCAGATCATACTATTCCTAACAGTAGCAAGAGTGTGACTGATCTGAAGCACCTAAGTATTGGCAGTATGCCATTGCTCTAAAGTTATAACCAAGCGAAAGATCCACTACTGGAGTATAGCTATTACTTAGATTCCATGTAGAATGTAGGTACATTGTCCTACTTTCAACCTTGTAAAGCGGAAAATAGAATCTGTACCCTTTGAAAAATAAAATTAGCCAGCAAGGAGCCTGACTTACCTGAATATTCTGTAGGACAACCACAGTGCTTGCAAAGATAAGCTAGGAATACATCCAGATATTTTCGTACAGGCAATTGATATATTGAAATCATGGATATCAGAAAGAGGAAGTACTATAAAGAAAAACCTGGGCATTTACCAGATGTGATCTTATATGATAATTGAAGTCCGTAGTGCAATTAGTATCAGGATCCACCAGGGTCTGAATCAGATGTGATATTGCATCTGCACATACTTGTGTCTAGTCACATAACTCCTAGCAATCCAGATGCTAGTATTAATTCCAATTATTACCAAGATATACCAGGATGTAGATCAGATATGATATCATATCAGAATACAGCAGTATCTAGGGAGATAACCTTAGATTGCTCAGATGTCAGTTTTGGTTGCAATAAACATCTAGGTACACCAGACTCAGAGGGCACAGAAGTGATGTTGATTATGCCTTGTCATAATACAACAGTACGAGATGTGAATTATTATTTTTGCTGATGTCTAAATTGTGTTTGTTAAGAAAAAGTAAATATCATACTTCTATTTATCGCTGTAATAAATACTGATTGGAATGATCTATCCACTTCATAGCTAACATATTATTGGAATATTTGGTTTCCCACACACTAACAACAGTATTATCAGGAAGTGCAGCCTGAGTTTCGGTATACCAGTCTTCTATTTGGAGAGTTATAGGAATCACTATTATTAGTGCAAGCCCTGTGCCATCACCACTAATAGTCACTACTGCAATAACCAGTTACTAATTACTCAAGCTTACTAAAGAGAATGTGTGATTTGGTTCCTGTGTAACCACACATTAATCACTCCTGATCGCTATTTGAAACCAGGTTTTGTCAAAGTTGTAATAACCAACTTCAACACTTTCCTTCTCTAAGCGAACTAGATTATCTTAAGCAACCAATCCTGAAGGTTATCAACTTGATATGCTCTTTTTCAATCAACATTCAAGGTTTTCTGCCTTCTAACAAGGTACTCAGGATTTCTTTTAAGAAATTACCATGTCCACATGTGGTTTACAGTAGGTGCCAGAGTTGAGGAATCAAGATTTGAGTGAGCAAAAATTTGAAATTGTGTATGTACAAATTAGGCAATATCTTGGAGGAATAGCTACTAGTATTGCATCAAACATGTTCACAAAAAGAGAAAGCGCAAGCACCTTATCAGGTCTCAATTTACTGTTCATGCATACTTGTTCTTCTCGTGATTGCTGACTATTCAAACAGGCATGCAGACATTGTGCAGGAACCCCAAACTCTTACGCTACAGCAGCAATGTTAGGCTTTTCATTACCAGAAATCCTTTTCAATTGCTTGCTGAATTTGGGCTTCAATATCAAGATATGGTTCAGGAGGAATGGTTTGCGGTAGACAGATTGATGTCTATTAGAACTGTTCCGCCTTCTTCGAAGGTCGCTTAGCGTCTTCGAAGGGGTGCCTTAGCACGGTTAATATCTGACCAAGATTTCTTGGCTCTGACGACGGCTAGTTCCGGGGAGTGGATGTAAGGCAACGCAGGATATAAACGTTGGAGGGGAGAGGGAGGAGCAAGATGGGAGGAGATAAGACTGTGAAGAAGGGTAAAGGCCTGTCCAAGAGAGAAGTCTTTACATCCTACCGTGCTTATAATACATGGCTAGCTATGATACTGTCATACCCCTATGGGGCTGTACCCGAATACCGGTAGGATTAGGAGAGCGAACGCCAGCCAGATCATGACATCTCAGGATTTTTCTTTTCTCTTCTCTATCTCTACTAAAGGTTATGCGTGGTCGTAGTGACAATGTGGGTTGTGGGGTGAACAGTTGGACCGTGGGGTTTAGAGGTTTGGATGCTGTACCGCTAGTTGAAGAAATGGTGCGTTAGGGTATGGTAGACAGCAATGGCATACCATACCGTACATCTTTCTTTCACGGCAGTTTGCTACATAACAGAGACAACTCCGTCGTTTGTGAGTGACGGCGTGAAAAGCTTGACCTTTTTTTTTTGCATTTTACATTTTTTATATATATTTATATATATTTCTTTCTCCAAGGAAGCAAGATTAAGTATCAATACTATCCAGCTTTTGTTTGTCCTTCCCATCAGAATTCACCACTTTCAATATCAGTCCACCAAAGTGGGCGAGGTTGATTATCGTGGGTGTCGTCGGACTGCGCAGCGCAGCGCCGACCTCGTCGTTGTTCCTGTTATCGCCGTTCGTCGGAGCTTTCGGACAAGCCGTTTTGATATCTTGGGATATCCGCCCGAAAAGAGACGTCTCTCCTCATGTTCGTCGGTCTCTCATTTTCACCACGCTGATTTTTTTTTTTCCCCGGACCCTCCTATTACCCAGACCTTGGCGTCGACTCGAGTACGATACAAGAGGGTCGGTCTTGCAGCATCATACAAGTAGAGGTGTTGGCCGGACAGAGCAGAGGGTGCAACTCAGGCTATGTGAACCCCCCACCCCACCGCTCGTTCTGCTGTGATCCCACACCTCTTTACCTAACACCCTACTGGTACCATTGCCCTCCCCACCTGCGCTGATCCGGCACCTGTACTCAGACTACCGTATGGTACGTTGCAAGTGCGCTACTTATCATACAATGCTCTTTCTCCGTAGAATAACGTATAGTGCAATAGTGCTCGAGTACAGTACAGTACACTACAGTGCCTCCCTCAGCTTGCTCACTCACCACCACCCCTGCTTTGTCCCTCGTCCATTTATCCTTCGACTCCTGCTCCTCTTCTTCCAACTTTGCTAGTTCCTCTCCCCCCGCCTTCTTCCCGGAACAAAAGGGAGAGAAGACAGAAGAAGAAAAGGAAAAAGAAAAAAGACAAAACCCCCCTTTACAAGTATTATCGCTACGGGCGCCTCTTGCAGCACTCGTCCCATTTCAACCGTTAGTTCTCACTTCCCGCCACTTTAACTCCAACTATTTTTTTTTATCTGCTTTCTACTGGAAAGTCACAGCCATTTAGACTATCTTGTCTTTAAACACTTTCTGTGCCCCCGCATTTGTCAAGCCGTCCCAGATTTCCGGCAGCGGAATTATCAGCACCTTACAAAAACATTTGAGAAGAAGTTCTTGGGAAATCAAAAATCAAAAATCAAGAAACCAAAACCGTCGGAAACACACAGGCGACTGCCGGCACACCCTTCCCTGGGAAGCTTCCTTCGGGTGTTGGAACAATTATGGCTGGACTCACAACCCCCGATCGTAATGGTGAGTCTTTTGATTCCTTGGTCCAAAGTAATGTTTTGTTGGTATGGTGTTACAATTCTCGCTATTTTTTTATTTTTTTTGAGGGGAGGATGAGCAAAAGGACTTTGCAAGATATTGATCGTTTCCTTTTCATTTGCTTTATAAATTAATACCCACCACATGAGACAGTATCTGAGATTTCTCGTATCGTGCACCTTTCATGGTGATGCTGGGCGGGCATGCCTGCGGGTGCCTTGCCCGATTTTGAACACCACTGATGCTTCCTGGTGTAGGCGAGGGGTTAGATATGATGGAGGGCCTTGTACGGCCTCGGTCAACTCCACCGATAAAATCGCAGAGCCTGCACCTTAGCACGAATACTGGCGGAAGTTCTTATAAGCCGAAAATCAGATTCTCTGTCGATTCGTCTATGGATCCTCAGCAACACAGCTCTGGAGAGCAAGTAACACAGTGAGTGTTTGCGGAATTCTTCTTATCGCCCGGGAACTAAAACCTACTGTGCCTTAGGAGTCCAGTCACCGTAGGTGAAAGCGACCATCTCTACACTTCAGGCTTACGACGGATAAGGCAGCAGACCCCGCTAGCAGGTACTCAGTCATTTGTGATACCGCACTCGATGTCAGTTCCTGGTACTAGAGTCAATTCTCTTTCCATCCCTCCAACCTCGCCAACCCTGGGATTTTGTGAGGACTTAGCTAGGTTCCCTACAGAGTCTTTACATTCCTTTTCTTTTGCCCACCAGTCAGAGGACTTGATCCATAGCCGACAAAATATTCTTAAGAGGAGTATAGAGTTTATGAGGGACAAGCTGGGATGGGGTTCACAATCGCCGATGATTACATCAGCTCAGGCGAAGGTGGAGGGAGATGAAGAAGTTGCAAAGGTGATGGAGTTACTTAGGAAAGCCAACTTGGTATCCGAGGAGAAGACCCCCTTGATGAATGGGCCTGTAACAGGTCCGGCCCAATTTGAAGGAAATCCATTTGAAAAGAGCTTTGCTCCAGAGGCACCGGTTTCACCTCGAACACAAGCCACCAACTCGGCACTGCCATTGCGGGGCACAGATCGGGCTGGTTCGTTCAATGATGAATTTCGCTCTGAGAGTACATCTCGCTCTACGACTAACGACTCTATCTCAACAGCCCACTCTTCGCCCCCATCCACCCGGAGAGCGAGCCTCAAACGTACCTATACAGATACTACTTCCTTGACAGTCCAGACTAAACTCTACGAAGCCCTCGCACAGCCATACCTGGTCACCGATATGCCACAATCCGCCACTGGAATGGGTCCCAGACCAATCATGAGCAAGTCTTCCGTTCACGGGCACACAAGCCGATACACCCTCGCTTCCCAGGCAGTATTTACTACTGAGGCGCACCACCCATGGACTATACTTGCTGCTAATGATCTGGCCTGCCTTGTTTTCGGGGTGACCAAAGCTGAAGTGCGGAAAATTGGTATTCTCGAGGTTGTCAAAGAAGAACGTAGAGAATGGTTGGCAAACAAGCTGAATTCTGGCGAAAATTCGTCCTCCTCGTTTCCGTACCCCCATAGCCATCACGGATCTCCGAATGTTACATCGGCTATGTTGCAAAATGGTCCCTACGGTAATGGCTACAGACGGGTCAAATCTGATGCATACTATACGGGATCGCCTATAAGGAGCGGTGGTTGCAGTGCTGGAGTTGCACAGCCATCAATGCATCATAGTCAGAACAAATCGAGAGGGGTCATACTCTGCGGGGATGTTGTGCCTATCCAGAAGCGAAATGGTAACACCGGGGCTGCGAGTCTCTGGGTGAAAGAGAAGCGAGGGGGCCTAATTTGGGTAGTGGAAGAAATTAGTGAGGATGTGGCCTTCTTATACACCTCCAACGATCCGGATTTGGCTGGTAAGGTAATGAGTTTCAGCGGAAACATGACGAAGATTTTCGGAGAGGATAGCATTCCGGATGGAGGAGTCGATGTTTCAGATTTCATTCCCATGATTCCTCGGAACGGGGATGGCACAATCGACTTGGAGCAAACTGCAGGCATTCACCAATTTACTGCAATGAATAGCATCGGTATGCGGATTCCATGTGGTGTCGAGCCAATCCCCTGTGAGGGAGTGTTGAGAATATCATCGTTTCCACACATTGCTGGTATTATCGTTTTGTCAGCGACAACACTCCGGATTACCAGCTCGAATGCTGTTTTCTCGGCTGCACTTTTCGGACATCTGAATCCCGTGGGCGTGCCAATTACTGAGATTATTCCGCAGTTCGATAGGATCCTCAAGTTCATTACCAGTGAAGACAAAATCGACCTTGTCGATGGTATTGTAGTTCCGGAACACTCTTTCCGGAAGGCAAAGGCCGTGCTTGCGTTGAGGGATGGAAAGGGCGACGCCGCTTCTATGTTTGTGAGGTCGGGTGGATTGACTGCTAGACATAGGGATGGGGCCGAACTGAGAGTTGACGTACAGATGAGAGTTGTCATGTCAGAATCAAAGGACGAGGAGGCCGTAATCATTGATGATCCAGACGAGACGGGTGCTGGAGGGGGTGAAGTTGTTTATGCTCTTTGGATTACATATTCTAGACATATGCATGCATCCTCCTTAACTTCAGATCCTTCTAACAACATCCTTCGAAGACCAGTCACTCCACCTAAACGTCCTAGCCCTGGCCAACCAAGCACTCCGATTGCCTCGGATGGACAGAGAAGTGATAATGCCAAGCTCTTGACAAGGCAATTGGAGGCTATTCAACAGTCGCCAACACCGCCGAGTTCTGAAGATGAGTCCACAGAGCCAAGCGGCCACGTATCAGCATCTGGGCCCCAAGGCATGTCCAAGCGGAAAAAGAATATCCAAGACTTCGTGATCCTAGAGGAGATGGGACAAGGAGCGTATGGCCAAGTCAAACTTGCGAGATACAAGCGGAACCAGGCGAAACGGGTAGTTCTCAAGTACGTTACTAAGCGCCGAATTCTGGTGGATACCTGGACGCGCGATCGTCGCCTGGGAACAGTCCCATTGGAGATTCATGTTCTTGACTACTTGCGGCGCGACGGTCTGAAGCATCCCAACATCGTTGAAATGACTGATTTCTTCGAAGATGATATCAATTACTATATCGAGATGGTACCTCATGGACTTCCTGGCATGGATCTTTTCGACTACATCGAGCTCAAAGTGAATATGGATGAGGACGAGTGTCGAAGCATATTTGTTCAGGTCGCTCGTGCGCTTCATCACCTCCATACAAAAGCCGGAGTAGTGCACCGCGACATCAAGGACGAGAACGTGGTACTCGATGGTGAAGGGAACATTAAGGTTATCGATTTCGGGAGCGCGGCGTATATTAGGAATGGGCCATTTGACGTCTTCGTGGGAACAATAGGTAAGCGTTACGATTTGTTGGATATGGACCTACCCCTAATCCAACGAATAGATTATGCGGCGCCAGAGGTCTTAGCTGGTAAATCGTATAAAGGCAAGGAGCAAGACGTTTGGGCACTTGGTGTGTTATTGTACACTATTTGCTACAAGGAGAACCCATTCTACAATGTAAGATGGATTCTTTGGCGGCATGGGGAGCGAAGATGGTAAATACTAACCTGAGTTACGAGTCACCTAGATTGACGAAATCATGGACCGCGAGTTGCGAATACCATTCATTCTCTCCGAAGTGTCATTGGAGTTAATAAGATTAATGCTCGATAGAGACGTGGAACGGCGCCCTACAATCGAGCAGGTCCTTGCTCACCCCTGGTTTGACGGCCTACCGAGCCCCGAGGGGGCGCTTCTGGCAGAATCGGCGGTGCAGGCGAGTTTCCCTCGTTGACCCAACTAGTACGTCGGCCGACGTGGATACGGAGCATGCAAAACGCCAATCACATTTCGTTCATTTTTTTTTGCCTCCGCCTAGAAATTGCTCATTCAGCAATAGATGTGAGAGAGATCTCGAGTACTCTAAAAGGATGCGAACTATCGATTAGAGACAATGCATCCACTCTGTTTTTGGTGATACGAAAAGTGAGAGAAGACAGATGGGTGATGGGTATTGACTGCTTTTTGACCGGGTTTCTTCTTGCCTACACATCTCTTATTAGCAACGGTAAAAGCGTTGGTTTTGTTCATTATCTTCATATTCATTATCAGGGCTTATTTTCGCTACTTTTTCTTTTTTCCCCTGTTTACCATCTTATCCCAACTGGGTTTTCCTGGTAGAAGGTGGGCTTTTCTTTACTTGTCATGGGTTACATTATCGGTTTCACTTTTTCTCTGTTTCCTCGATTTAAGAAATCATGGTGTTTATTTTTTATCATCACTATTTCCTTTTCTTCCTTATTAGCTTAGTTTCTTCCTGATGGGATCCGGAGTTGCTGTTTTGAAGTCATAAACGGCATGGAAAATTCGCATGGGTGAAAATATATGATAGTGTCATGATGGGATTTGATTTTGTTGTTTATTTGTGGCTATTGGGTTGTGAACGTTTTTTGTTTCTACGATATCGTTGGGCGTTGGTAGTTGGTTTGGTTCAGAGGGCATGGGATTGAATTGGGCATGGCTCGCGAAGGGGAAGGATGGAAGGAGGGAGGGAAGGAAGCGTAGGGGGCCGGAGGCAGGAGTGGATTTCTTTCATTATCTATCGTAGTTGTATTGTAACTGGTTCGCTAATAGGGGATAAATATTTGGTAGATGTACTACCGCTCCTACCCATTACTGGTACCATAGGTGACTTATTCCAAGGATTGTGAGAAGGAGACGGTGATAGAAGAGACAAGGGGGATGCGAGCGATGGATTGATAGGTGTCTGGCGGTTGTTTGCAGGGTGGCGGGGATATTGAAATTATAGGTAATGAAGTTTGAATATACAAGTGAAATCCCCTTTTTCTTCCGGTCCTTGGGAGATTGGATTAGAGTATGGTTTGGCAGAATGAGGAGAGTTGAAATATAGGGGATAGCATGTATCATCTGAAGTGACCCATTTTCCAGGTGGGATAAACAAGCCCTTTAATGGCATAAAAGCTCTCTTAGATATGTCATACTACGACATATGGACATCTCTATGACACAATCTGTCGAAGGCTGAATGTAGATACACATCAGGGTACCCAAAACAAACGAGTGATAATTCATGATACTATACATTCAATGGTTTAACAATATTATACACTCATGTCAAATAAGTTTCCGTACCCCTGAGTGCAACCACACCACCCCAACAAAATGGAAACAATAACTTTATTATAGAACAGACAGTGGAAGTGATGTAGTAGAAAATTTTAAATATTTTACTATTTTGTATGGCTTCTATCTGCATCCATTACAGCCTGAACTCTCTTGGGCATCTATTTAATCTATCTATTAATTTTCTCTGGAATAATATGCTCCCACTCCTCATTGGCTGTCTGAAATAATTCAATAGCATTATGAGGCCTTCTTTACAACTTGCCGAATTGCTTTTTGAAAGCCTTTTTAAGAAGTGACCAGGCATTCTCAATAGGATTCAGATCTGAGGAGTTGGGAGGCCAAGGAGATCTTTGATATCCACAATCCTCCTGTAATTTTTTGTTTTCCAATCTATTATGCCATGATGCATTATCAGCTACCTTATAAATAGTTCCTGGTAATCTATTTATTCTTTTTATGACAGGAATAAGGTATTGCTGGTGACTTTCAGTAGCCTACTGATGTGCATTTAGACCAAGCCTGTCTGATTTACTGGTTCTTCCCTTCTCACTCCTCCTTCTGATAAGAATTAACTCAGCTTTTCTTCTATGTATACTTGCAGCATAGACCCTAATATTAGTCTTTCCTAACTTAAAGCTTGACTTCAAGTTTTTTCCTCAAGCTCCTTATCATCTCATCATCTAACCTTTCTTCCTACAGGATTTAGATCATTCTCCATTGTAGCCTTATCAACAAAAACTACCTGCTTTTAAGCTCTTGTCCAATATCTGCTCTGCCTAGCAAATATGTTTCTCTTCTCCTTTTGTCATTTCCTCCAAGAAGACTATTTCCTTGAAATTTTAAGTTTAAAACCAACTTCACTCAAGATCCTATTCATTGCATCTTTTTCAAAACCAACATTAGCCTTTTGGGTAATATTCCTTAATTCTAAATGAGGCTTAGTAGCAATAATATCAAGTACAATTTTCTTTTAGGCATCAGTTAACTTAGTTGGTCTGTCAACTGTGGGAGAAGCATGTATGTTGGCATTATTGTCTAGAGCCTTTTTGATCACTGTAGAAAATGTTGACCTGGTGAGCTCCATCTGCTTGGCAATTTTATTATACTATATAACTGTATAGTTATATAGGGCATAAATAGCTTAATTTCAGTTTTCTCTTATAAAGTAGAAGTGTGGTAGGTGCATGATTGTGTGGAGTTGTGACAGTGATTGTAATTTTGACTGTTGTTATGCAGGTGTATGGGAACTTGTTAGACATGAGTATACCATAGTTGTAGAAATTACCTCTCATAGCGGATAAATCTGGCCAATGTCAATTATCTCTTCACTTTTATAAGCCAGATTGATTATAGAGGCTTACTGCTAAAACAATGTTTCTTTTTTTGACTTGGATTTTTAATGAATTCAATTATTATCCTGATATTTTATATACCATTATATAAATAAGTAGTGTGATAGCTTGTTGATAGCAGATATTTCAAAAGAAATTAATAGTCTTGTACATGGACAAAATTAATCGCGATTCAATTGATGAAAATCATTGGCAATGACAACCACACCCATCCACCAATCAACTATCATTAAAACCAAAAACAAAATTAAAAGATGTAAATACATAGTAGAAATTAATATTTGGTATACCATCTATCAGCCTTAACAATTGCCTCTATTCTATCCACCATTAATCCAGCTAATGTATCAAAAACCCTTTGATCAAGAAGTTTACAACAATGAGTGATGGCCTCTACTGTTACTTTCTTGACCACATTTACATCACCCTTCATAAGATATAGCTCAGCGTAGTGCCTGTAAAGCTTACCTTTCACCAAAGACTAAATATTTTCAATTAGATTGAGATCTGGTAAATAGGCAGGAATTTCTATCAGTGTAATTCCCTGTTCTCTGAGCCATTTCCTAAAAGGCAAGTGAGTCTTAGCATTGTCAATGATAAAAAATATCTCTTCTTCTCTAGCCTTTTCTCTGATATTCTCCCATATCTCCAGAAAGTCATAATAATCATAAACATCAATAATTGACTTTCCAGTAACTCCACCAATAGCAGAAGAAGAATCAGGAAAAACAGGCAAAAAAAGACCATGAGTTTGACTATAAAAACAACCAGTCATCATCTGGCTAATCCCTCTCTCCCCTCTCTTAGCCTTAGGTTCAACATAATCCTAATTTCATTTCTCATATGGGTATCTGAAAACTTATTTTCTCCTCTTTCCTCATCCTCTTTCCACAGCTACCTCATCCCCCCATATTGCCTTCCTTCTCCACATCTCCTTTGTCCAATGCCTATGAGCTAATGCCCATTTCAACCTCTCTTGAGCAAGATCCTTATTCAAAAGAACTCTCTCTTATGCCATCCATTTTCTAAGTTGCTTTTGTTCAAGTCTTCTCCTTATAGTCCTACTAAAACCATTGGAAGGAACTGGCTCCGCAATGTCAAAATAGGTAGTATGGTAATTTTTAAGAGATTCCTCTACCATAGCATCCTCCAGTGACTTGGTAGTTCTAGGATGTCTTCCTCTACTCTTATTCCCCTTGCCTTCTTGATATCCTTTTACAATTGTATCTCTGACAGTAGTATATAGGTTATTAAGGTAGTGGAAAAGTTGCTGATATCACATCTGAGGCTCGAGTAACTCAAGAATCCTTCCGCTGGTAAACTCTGAGAGATATGTGGAGGCAATAGGTTTTTTGGCATGACTGCGAGGAATAGGAGGCATAGTTTATTGAACAAAAGAATTGAGCGGAATGGCTACTTCTTGATTGACTTGGAGCAATTTTTTTAAGTACTGTTGAGAGTGTGGAGTGATGAGGAGAGGTGGGTTGCTGCAGATTGTTGAATCACGGTTAATTTTATCAATGTACAATATCATGAAAACTAAGGGCTCTGTTAAAGCCAGGCAGGAAATATGAGCTGGCCTACAGAATGACACAGGTAATCCCTCCAAACAGAAGGTTCAATTCTGCCAATCGAACATGAAACCTGTGAGTAGGCAATAGACATAAAGCAATAGATAATTTACGGAAAGAGGCATATAAGTGATGGTGATGAAGAGCTTCAAGTGCCAGTATCGTGAGATAACTAACTGGTGATGAAAATGAGCAAACAAGTAGACAAGCCCTCAAGCATACAACAATTCCTAATACCAGAATCCTGGATAAATGCAGATAACTGCCCAGCATCGAAGATTGTAGTGGGCACAGAGGCTCACCACTGAGGCAGAGTGAAGTCAAGGAAGAGGAAAGTACTTACAATTCAATCCAATTTTATTTGAACTCGTACTGCCTCCACTAGCATTTGATGAGCCCACGCTGGCACAAGGATATAGCTAACTAGTATACCACTAACTCTGAGCTAACTAAGTTTACAGTCCCACATCTACCATTCCTGAGTCATGCCCACATGGAAACTAATTACATGACGATCAAACAACCCATTGCCCTTTCTGGCCCAAGTCCTTAGCTCCTCTGGTATCAAGCCAACCAGCACTAAGCATAGCTGAAGCCAAATAAAAGACCATCCTGACCTGTTCCTCATACAAAGAACAATAAAACACTACTACTGGTTTGAATACTGTCCAGTAATCTATATCCACTACATGAGAAAACCAACAAACATCTTAAACCAACAGGCAATACAATGGCAGAAAGGAGGCTACCAACACGTCTACCTCTTGTACCTGCATGGCATGCCATCGCCTCTTTGAACCTATTTTGCTAGTTGTCTCTGAAGTGCATACCAGTAAGGAGGACCTGTACCTACTGCCTTTTCCCCCTACAAATATCATAAACAAAGGAACTACATAGAGGTAGTTACAGACCAAAACAGTCAGTGGGACCAATTTCCTACTCATAGTGCCATGCCTCCTGCCATACCTGTAGCCAAACTAAAGAAATCAAAGAAACTCACAAAGCCCAGCACAAAAAGCTCAAACAAGTCCAACCAGGTAGGCATAGCCAACTATCTGCAGAGTTGGCCATCAACTCCGCGGTCTGCCAGGGAGCTTTACAGTACTCAGCAGCTTTACCTAATCAACCAAGCAGTCTGAAAACACTTAATTAGATTCCATCCAACCTGATGAGAGCACGACTAGTCCTTGCAGGTGTCTCTTATCCCAGCAGTCACCCCCTCCCAGCTCCACATACCAGATGCCACATGATCCATCCAGCCCCCTCAGATCCTTAGACAGATCATCCGTCGAATAGCCACAGAACAGCCTATACTCAACCCTGCTAGGTAGTAACTGTTCTTGGCCAAACCGACAGAATACTAACCCCCAACATAGTAAAGCTGAGGAGGCCTATCACCCTCAGCCGGAAGTCACACAAGAGGCAGTACCAATACCTAAAGGCACTGGAATTAGCTACACCATTCAAGCTAACTGAACTGAAGTCCAGCTGAGCTGGAGAAAGGTCAGGCAAGACCATCTGAGGACAGCCCCTCAGGTGCAGTGGAATGCGTAGGCCAAATAGTGAGCAAGAGGTACCCCCAACAGATGTGATAGGAAAGAG